TAGGAAAGCCAACCCTTAACTACCTTTTTTTTAACAAAATTCTTCTTTTAACAATTATCAGTGATATTATAAATACAACGGAATAAATCAAATGAGCGGAAGACTTAAATTAACAAAACTAAATGAAAATACGGAAATTCATCATAAACCTCTACCCAAGAACTGGTGTCACATTACTCACGAACTACTAAGAGTACTAAATGCAATCGTTTGAAGGATAATATAAACTGTTTGTCTCGAATACATGAGATAATAGACCGAAATAAAAGATAGATGAGATACTGGGTCTGCAGACGCCTGCAAGGCTACCTCGATATCTCGCTGGTCTGAATGCTAACTCTCGCGCTACTACTGCTGTCCGAAACCTGGATCTGTGCAAAGGAGCACAGAGCGTAGTATCAACATAACCGACCCCATATGTCGGTAAGTGTCTAGCCTAACCCCAACGAAGTAGTGACGAGGCTAGGACCAGACTACCAAGTAAACCTGTGCAGTTCAAATATACATACAGCGGAATAGAAATACAGGAACTAACCAGTCAATGTAGGAAGGGGAAATATGTTGTGGGGAGGTAACAATATCAAATATAAATTCTCGATAAAAGAAAGAAGCAACAAGGCCAGAATATCAACAAGAATCACAAGCCAACAGTTTGCATGGCATCACCCTTCGTGCTTTTACTCTCGTCCTCACCCAAGCAATATTTATAATAAAACTGTGCATGGTATCACCCTTCGTGCTTTTACTCTCGTCCTTACAAAATCAATCGTATCAGAATAATGTGCACGACATCACCCTTCGTGTTTTTACTCTCTTTCATCACAATATAATCAATGCATATCGGTACGAAATGGCACATCGTACAACACGGCATCACCCTCCATGTTTTACACTCTTTCCTCACAATAACAAACAATGCACGGCATCACCTTTCGTGCTTTATCACTCTTCCTCACCTAAACAACAATCACAAATAAGGGGCAATGAAGTAAACAGAATAATAATAGAGATCTCGGCAAGGGAACAACAATTAAACAATTAAATCCCGACAAGGGAACAACATCAATAATTTCAACATCCTGGCAAGGGAGATAATTAATAAAGCAACAATTACCTAGCAAGGGTACATTTTCATAATCCTTTTTCTTTCTTTCACTTTCATTTCATAACTTACTCAACCACTTGAGCCATTGCTCCAAAAAGGGTTCAATTATCTCATATACTTTCTCAATTCGTATTATAACTTGAGCCAATGCTCCTCGAAGTTTAAATATAACAATTTCTTTCACATGCTCTTTACAACATATAGAAATCATCATTTAAGCATGGAAGATACAACAAAATCAGGATATTCGCAATATAAAGACTCACGACCATGCTAGACACCAACGTATAGATACTCGTCACCATGCCTATACATCGTACTCGACAAATAGCAAGTAGCAAATAAGACTCAACTCTTATTCCCTCAAGCTAAGGTTAGACTAAACACTTACCTCGAAATTCCACGGTCAACTCAATCCTTAAGCACCACTTTTCCTTTCAAGTTTGGCTCCAACTCAATCGTATCTATACACAATTGACTTAGTATCATCAATAAATACTAAACAATCCAATTCAAATGCCTAAATATAACTTTCTAAACATTCTTCCAAAAATTTCAAAAACCGACCCCAGGTCCGCTTGGACAAAACACGAGGTTCGAACTAAATTCCGATCACCCATTCACCCACGAGCCCGAAAATATAATTTATTTTCAACTTCGACCACAAAATGAGGTCTAATTCAAGAAAAATCAAAAAGCCCTAACTCTACCCAATTCTCTAATTTTCTACCCTTATTCACACGTTTTAGGCCTAGGAATTCAATAGATGTTGATGGAAAATGAAGAAAATGAGTTAAAAATGCTTACCCAAGAAACTTTTGTGAAGAAATGCTCTAAAAGTCGCCCTAGGACCTTGGAGAAGAAGGAGTTTGTGAAAAATTTGATAACTCCCGAAATGGTTCTGTTTTGGAACTTTTAAAGAACTGGGCAAAATTGCCCTTCGCGTTCGCGACAAGCTGGTCGCGTTCGCGAAGGGTAACACTGACGGCCATCGCGATCGCGAGACGGGTATCGCGAACACAGAGAAGGAATTGCTGGGGTCCAGAAATTTGGTCTATGTGAACGCGCGGGACTTCACGCGAACGCGATGAAGAAGTTCCGTTAAGCTACACGATCGCGAGGGTACAAACGCGAACACGAAGAGGAAAGAAGGCTAAGTCCCCCAGAGCCAGATAACTCTATGTGAACACGAGGGTAGGGGTGCAAACGTGATGAAGGAAAGATTTAGAGCTTCGCGAACGTGGAAGAGGCGTCGGAAACGCGAAGAACAAATGGACCTGCAACTGCTGAAGCCAAAAATCTACAATTTCTTAAGTCCAAAACCACCCCGGAACACCTCTGAAACACTCCCGACCCCTTGGGGCTCCTAACCAAACACATACACTAACTCAACAACATCCTACGAACTTAACCGTGTGATCAAATCGCCAAAATAATGTCATATACAACAAATTAAGCCTTAAAATCCATGATTTCTTCCAAATTTCATAAAACATCAAATTTTCCATTTTGAGTCTGAAACACGTCAAACGACGTCCGTTTTCAACCAAATTTTACAGAAACATCTTAAATCATATATAAGACCTGTACTAGCGCTAGAACCAAAATACGGGCCCGATACCAACACGTTCTAATCAATTTCCATTTCCATTTTCCTTAAATATTTTCAGAAAACAATTTTACTCAAAAATTCATTTCTCGAGCTTGGGATCTCGGAATTCGATTCCGGGCATACACCCGAGTCCCATATTTTCCTACGGACCCTCCGGGACCGTCGAATAACGAGTCCGGGTCTGTTTACTCAAAATATTGACCGAGGTCAAATTTATTCATTTTAACTTCAAAATTTAGCATTTTTTTACAGAATTTCATATTTAAGCTTTCCGGCTTCGCGCCCAGACTGCACACGCAAATTGAGGCGACCATAAATAAGGTTTTCAAGGCCTCGGAAGTTCGAAATGGATAAGAAAGCAGGTGATGACCCTTTGGGTCGTCACACCAGCTGGGACATCAACTCGAATTGGAGCATTTACAGCTGGAATATGCGATTTAGTAACCCGTGGAAGATTAGTAAATACATTTGGCAATTGATTTGCAATATTTTTTATATAAATGATCTTTTGAACTTCTTGTTCACATTGATATGTACGAGGATCCAAATGAGATAGAGATAATACATTCCAATCTATCTCTTTTTCTAGCCGTTTATTTTCTCCCGCTAATGTTGGAAAAACTGATTCATCAAAAGGACAATCAACAAATCTGGCTGTAAACAAATCTCCTGTCATAGGCTCCAAATATTTAATAGTAGAAGGAGATTCATATCCAAAAATTCTTAGATGGAAAATATTTGGCTCCTGACCAAAAGCCAACTATAATGGGGAGACTTTATGATAACTAGTTGGCCTTATGCGCACAAGTGTTCCTGCATGTAAAATAGCATGTCCTCACACTGAAAGGAGGAGTTATGTCCTCATTAGCAATGGTCTAGCTATTAGTTGAAGTCGTTTAATCAATGATTCTGCTAGACCATTTTAAGTATGCACATGAGCAACCGGATGCTCAATTTTTATTCCAGTGGCCATACAATAATCTGTAAAGGGCTGAGATGTAAATTCATCAGCATTATCAAGATGAATTGTCTTAATTGCATAATCTGGAAATTATGCTCTTAACCTTATTTTTTGGGCCAACAATCTCGCAAATGCCATATTACGAGTTGACAATAAGCACACATGTGACCATCTTGTAGATGCGTCTATCAAGACCATAAAATACTTGAATGGTCTACATGGAGGGTGTATAGGCCCACATATATCACCCTGTATACGTTCCAGAAATGGAAGAGATTCAATCCCAACTTTAGCTGCTGATGGTTTAATAACCAATTTTCCTGGAGAACAAGCAGCACAAGAGAATTCCTTAAATTGAAGAATCTTCTTATTCTTCAATGTGTGCCCATTTGAATTCTCTATTATTCTACGCATCATGTTAGAACCGGGATGGCCCAACCGGTCATGCCAAATGATAAAATCATTAGAAGTATTAAACCTTTTGTTTCCTATGGCATGTGATTTAACCACACCAATATTTGTGTGGTACAACCCAGAAGAAAATGCAGGTAATTTTTCGTGCACATATTTTTTCCCCGCTTTTATTATAGTAATATAAAGGTATTCAACCTTTCCTTCGTTAGAGGTCTCAACATGGTAGCCATTTTAGCGAATAGCTTTGAAACTCAACAAGTTTCTTTGAGACTTACTACAATACAATGCATTATTAATACTCCCTCCGTTTCAATTTATGTGAACCTATTTCCTTTTTGGTCCTTGCCAAAAAGAATGACCTCTTTCCTTATTTGGAAACAATTTACTTTTATGCAATGATTTATAGCCACACAAAATATATGTGCCTCATTTTACACCACAAGTTCAAAAGTCTTCTCTCTTTTCTTAAACTCTGTGCCCAGTCAAATGAGTTCACATAAATTGAAACGGAGGGAGTAGTTAATATCGTTCCTCCAAGTAGTAATAAGTCCGCTCTTCCAGAGCCCTCAATTAACTTTGTACTACCAGATATTGTATTAACATAAGCCTTTTTCATAACCAAATAAGAGAAAAATTTCTTTTCTCTTAATATTGTGTGAGTTGTAGCACTATCCAAAAGGCATAAATCTTCATTATTCATCTTGGATCCAATTGAAGACTGAAAATTTTTATATTCTTCATAAAAGAAAAAGTACACCATGAGAAATAAGGAAAAAACTAACATCACCAACGACAATATAAGACAACTTAAGTACTACTTAAAAATAAAAAACAACTTTAGAACGAGACAAAAAAATCACTAAAAATAAAAATAACATAATTGCATTCCTCAGTAAAATGATCAAACTTTAGTTTTGATCTCCAAAGAAGTCTTCAACTTCCAAATGAGTAAGATCATCAAGGCTTTGAAAATCATCATCATTTAAAGCAAGATTTGTCTCGGCATTGTCATCATTTTTGTTTGAAGGCCCTGCCTCAAAATTATTTTAAAAGGTCAAGTGTGACTCCACTGGGGCATTAGCAGAAGATGCTCCAACATTATTTGCCTTTCGTTTGATGGAGTTTTAATAAAGCCTGACAAAATGCTCAGGTGCACGGCATTCAATTTTCCAATGACTTTTCATGCCACAACGGTGGCAGTTACCGCTTGCCTTAACAGTTCCATGCTCACGTACATTCATATGGCCATGATTATTATTCTGTTTTTTTTCAGACTTATCACGTCTAGCTACCATATTCGCTTCAGAAAGCGGAGCTGACCCTGTGGGACGGGCTTCATGAATTTTCAGCAAAAGAGTATTACGTTGCTCAGCCACCAGAAGGCATGAGATCAATTCAAAATACTTTTTAAAATTCCTTTCACGGTATTGCTACTGTAACACCATATTTGAGGCATGAAAAGTCGTAAGAGTCTTTTCCAGCAAATTCTCATCATTCATAACTTCCCTACATAATTTTAATTGGGAAGCTATTCGAAATACAACAGAGTTCTACTCACTTACGGTCTTAAAATCTTGCAACCATAAGTGCATCCACTTATATCGAGCCCTTGGAAATACCGTAGCCTTAAGGTGATCATACCTTTCCTTTAGGCCGGTCCACAATTCAAGTGGATCTTTCACTGTTAAATATTCAACCTTCAAACCTTCATCCAAATGATGACGAAGGAAAATCATGGTCTTCGCTTTGTCCTGGCTTGATGCCTCATTACCATGAGTAATGGTATTACCAAGGCCTTTAGCGGCTAAGTGAATCTCAGCATCGAGAACCCATAATAGGTAATTCTTTCCAGAAATGTCAAGTGCCACAAACTCAAGTTTTGACAAATTCGATATAGTAAAAACTATCAAAGAAGATAAATAATTAGAAATCATTAGGATAATAGTATAAAGAATCTTAAAAATTGACATTATATCAGATTTGTGATCTATATATACACTAAAGTGATAATTCCATAGAAAAGAATACTATTTTTTTCTTCAAATTATTAGTATATCTTTGATGTTAACTAGAAGAAAATATCTTCTCTCAATTAATTCTATTAACATAAAAATTAGCAACTTTCACATGACAATCATGCAAATAACTTAAAATAAAGAAACATAGAATTCTTTATTTTTACATATCTCTAGAGATGTGAGAAATTATAAAACGGCATATTAAAGACACTAATCATGAAATCAAAATATACAACGAAAAAAAAATGAACAAATATACCTGAACAGCGAAAAGAGCTCAACTTCGTGCTGATAACGTATTAAAAATGTAGCTCAAAGTAACAATATAAAACAAGAAGATAAGTAGAATAAGAGAAGACGAGATAACTTTCTTATTTCATCAAGTGTTCAAGTGTGTTCCATTTCACATTTCATGCCTCTATTTATACTATTACATATGAAGGTTACAAAATGATAGTCTTAAACATGGCATTAACAATTGAGATCATGGGGAGGGGTTATGAAGGTGTGGAAGTTACAATCATAATGGTGATGAATAGTGAGAGGTTATTTACATCATGGGTGAAAGTAGTGGGAGTAGTCAATATCCACATTTACTAAATATTTTATAACAGTTTCCATTTTTTTGCCAAGCAACGCTCTTTTTGTATGGCTTCTTCTTTTGGAATCTAGAAAATTAATTTGTCTCTTTCATTATCTCAAATGATTTTTCATGTTTTACGTTGTAAGATCAAACATAGTTGAATTTTGAGCAGGTACCAACATAACTCGCCTAAAGTCAAATTGTTTATTTGTTCTGCTAGATATGAAAGATTTTAAAGGACTCGCTTAGCTAAATTATGTGTTCTCTTTTCTCTACTTCTTTTTTCTTTTAAATTTTTATTCTTATATATATGTGATGGTTTGATTTGACATTTTTTTAAGAACTTAGTTCTACACAGTACCAACTTTTTGATTAGTCTTTAGAACAAAATTACTCTACTTTTTTTAATACTCCAAAATTATGAAAGATTTTTATAGATTTAACAATATGTTATATTTTAATTAAATTATAATAAGATCAAAATCAATTCTTTTACAAGCGCGCGAAGCGCGAACAAATTGACTAGTCATGTAATATTACCAGCCCTCATGTCCCACCTCTATCCCCACTAATATTATATGCCTCTGCCTAGTCCTTTTTTAGCTAAGAACTCGTTTGGACATAAGAATCTTTTTACCTTTTTTGGAATTTTTTTTACTTTTTTCGAAATCTGTGTTTGGTCATAAAATTTTCAACTTTCACTTGAAGATGAATTTTGGAATTTTTCGAAAATTTAAAAAATTTCAAAAAGTTATTTTCCAAAAAATTTCACTCACAAAACTTCAAAACAATCCAAAATTATATTTATGTCCAAACAAAACTCTATTTTCAAATCCCATTTTCACTTGAAATGTTTTTCACTTTTTTTGAATTTTACAATTCTTATGTCCAAACGCCCGTAGGCATGTAAAATTTATTAAATTTAAATTCAATAAACAATATGGACTATATTTTTAATATAATAATCCAAATAAATATTATGAGCTAATATAATTAGATTAATTATATAAGTCCAATATAATAAGGCTACAAATGATGAGCCCACTTCATTAGGCCCAAGAAATCATCTTCCTAGAAGTCCAGTTTGTTGCCACGCGTGAAATGACGTGGCATGCCAAGTCAAACGGAAAAGCCAATAGGATCATGCCACGTGTCAAAATGACAAGGCATGCCAAGTCACATTAAAAGGCCAATGAAGCCGCGCCACGTGTGCAAGTGACATGTTTTGGCCAATCAAACGCGGCATTGTCATACTTCAATTTGATTGGTCAGAAAGAAATTTTTCTTATCATAACTCTTCCCTCCCACAACTATAAATAGGGGTCTTCATAACTCATAAAAGACACCAGAAGTTATAACAAAAAGGAAGAAAGAACTCGTTGATCAAACGCTGCAAATTCCTCTACATGTGTCAAGCTTCAAGTTCAAGAAACCAAGTTCAAGCTCAAGAACGAAGAAGAAATCAAGTTCAAGAAATCAAGCTCAAGCTCAAGAACAAGATCATCGTTCGTGGTGACAACTACATATTCAAGATCAAGCTCAAAGGCCCTTGAATTTATTTACTATTGAAAATAAGAATCAGAGAATTCATAGAGATCGTAACACTTAAATATTCGGAATAAAATACTACAATTGTTGCGATATTTTCGATCTTGATTTTATTTTTTCGTCGCAAATTTATTGTTTACAAATTCTGGCATGCTCAGTGGGACAATCTCTACCTCTCATCTCAACTTTTCAATCACCAAAGTTCAAGAACATCGAAATGGCTTCAAAGAAAATCAACTCCCGATCAACTTCCATTAAAGCTGCTAATTCCAAGTTCTATGCTAGTGTGGAAAAAACATCCTCAATATTACCTTTGAAAGCTTTGGACCAGTCACAAGGAGCAAAGTAAGCTCCGTAGGACAACAAACACTTCAAGTGTCGTCTGCATCAAGCCTTATTGTCGGATCTTTATCTTTAAAAGGAACAAGATCCTCTACAATCACGGCCCAAAAAGGGAACGATGTTGCCGAAAGGATCGAAGAGGTTCTTGCTCAACATCGTTTATCTAAGTGCAAGAAACCTTTCATGCAAGCCGGTGATGATAACTCGAGTGTTGGATCTCCTCCAGTCTCCATTAATGCGCCCTCTAAGCTCAACAATGATCCATATTATTCTCCATCCTCTATAGTTCATGCAAGCAATGGTTATTGGAGCTTCTACTATAGAAGAACAACCTGCAAATTTGACGAAAGCAATTGAAAGCTTATAAAAGCACATGCAAGATCAAGATGCTAAACTTTCGAAGTTAACAAATACATTAGAGAGCATAGTAGAGGGAGAATCGACACAAACACCTTTAAATCTTTAAAGATCAAATGAGAAAGAAGACTCCTCCGAAAAGCAAGCAACAACAACCAAGGAGATTCAAGTCTCCGCTGAAGGTCTGATTCCCGTTGAGAAATTAAAGGACTTTATCATGCAGTCTATCAAAGATAAAGCCGAGTCGTCCAAATTATCACTCACATATGCAAAGCCGTATATGCAAAGAATTGATAACTTGAAGATGCATGTTGGTTACCAACCTCCTAAGTTTCAACAATTCGACGACAAGGGAAATCCGAGACAATATGTAGCACACTTTGTTGAAACTTACAACAATGCCGGAACATATGGTGATTATCTTGTCAAACAATTTGTTTATCTCTCAAAGGTAATGCATTTGATTGATACACAGATCTCGAACCTGGTTCTATCGATAGTTGGGAGCAGTTGGAGCAATCGTTTTTATAGCACAAGATACATCGTAAGCATGATCGAACTTATAAACACTCAATCAAGGAAAGGATGAGCCAGTTATTGACTTCATCAACCACTAGAGGTGCTTAAGCCTCAACTGCAAAGATCACCTTAGTGAAACTTCTGGCATTAAAATGTGCATTCAAGGCATGCATTAGAGTCTTAGCTATATCTTATAAGGCATAAAGCCCAAAACATTTGAAGAACTAGCATCCCGTGCACATGATATGGAATTGAGTATGGCTACAAGTGGAGATCAACGGTTTCCTGGCTTTGAGCCTCATGATGAAACAGAAGCAGAGGATGCAGAGAATAGGGGCAAGTATTCATCCGAAGATGAAGCTAAAAAGTCCATGCATGTTGCAACGCTCCTTAATGTACGAGCCTAAACTACAAGTTATAACTCTCTTTAATGCACGTGCTTAAACTGCAAGTTATAATGCTCCTTAAAGCTCGAGCCTAAATTGCAAGTTGTAATGTTTTTTGATACATGAGCTTGTATTATATGTCACGAAGCTCCCCAATTTTGAACTATATCTTTAAGACGTAAAGCTCTTCAAATTCAAAGTAAAGTATTCAAGTTACAAAGCTCTTCAAATTTGAGCAAAGACTCAAGTTGAAAGCTCTTCAAAGTCGAGAAAAGACTTCAAGTCGCAAAGCTTTTAAAGTTAGAACCAAACTTTAAGACGTAAAGCTCTTAAAATTCGAGAAAAGTCTTCAAGTTTCAAATCTCTTTAAATTCGAGCAAAGACTCAAGTCAAAAGCTCTTCAAAATAGAGCAAAGGCTTCAAGCCGAAAAACTTTTCAAATTACAGCCAAACTTTAAGACGTAAGGATTTTAAAATTTGAGAAAAGTTTTCAAGTTGTAAAGCTCTTCAAATTTGAGCAAACTGTTCAAGCTGCAAAGCTCTTCAACTGTGAGTTAAATCTTCAAGTAATGAAGTTCTTGAAATTCGAGTGGAACTTCAAATTGTAAGCTAAATCTTCAAGTTGCAATGCTCCTAGACATATGAGCCTAAAATTCACGTCATGAAGCTCTTCAAATTTGAGCAAAATCATCAAGTCGCAAAGCTCCCTAAAATACGAGCTTAAACAGCAAGTTACTACGCTCCTTAACGTATGAGCCTAAACTGCATGTTCCTATGCTCCTGGGCTGCATGAGTCTAAATTGTGTATCGCCCACCAAAAAAAAAGAGTCCGCTAGGTTGAAAACCTCGAAAGAGGCGACCTAGTCAAAAGTTAGGACATAAAAACAATATCCTCTAGGTTGAAAATCTCGAAAGAGGCAGCCTAGGCAAAAGTTAGGACATAAAAAAATCACCCATTGCGAACTACGGTATGACTTGATCCTCTTCACCGAGGCACGTATGCAGCTTAAAGTTTCATTCTGAGTTCAATCGCATGAGTTCAAAATATACATAGTTTCCCAATCATCGTTCGAATGAAGTACGATGGAATGTAATCCATTCAATCAATACTAAAAAATTGAGCTGAGATACTATTCTTCTGTTAAACTGTAACACCCCATAAATTTGAATTAGTTGTGGATGCATTAAATGAGTATTAATATGATGATTATTAATTGGATATGATAATAAGTGTACGAGGAATATCATAGGTGATTTGGGGTCCAAGGAGAGACTTAAGTCTAAGCCAAGTTAGAAAATTACATGATAGACTAAAATCCCAAATGAGCACGCACAAGACCAAATATTAGACGAGAATATCTATAGATATATAAGGTTTTATGTGATTCACAACCTATCAAATGAAGGATCTTCGAGTCTAATTTCTAACGCTTCAAACCGTTTGTCATTTGGACACTCCTAGTAGAAGTTATGACCAATTTACCAGAAGCTGAAAAAATTTTACACTACCACACCACCCCAAGCATCGCGCCATGCGGCGCGTCTGTGTAGATTAACAGAGCACTGCCAAATTTTGTTTCTAGACACATTTTTCATTACCGCATCGCCCATGTGTTCCCCCATGCACCGCATCTGTGTAAATCTTAATTTTTTTCCAACCCGACCCTATTTTGATATAAAACTTTCGTGGGTTCTTTTTCCCACTTCATTTGGACGAATTTTATGATTTTCCTCCTCTCTCTCAAGACCTCTAACCCCTCCCATCTTCAAGGTAAGCAATCCCATTATCTTGGTGTGAATTCTATCATTTATACACTAGTATTTATGAAATCTACACATAAAATACTTAGATCTTCAAGGGATTTTTTCAAGAACTCAAAGGAGGGTTTTGCAAGATTTCTTCCAAAAAGGTAATCCTACACCCTTAGACTTACATATATGGATTTATTAAGGGAATACGAGTATGAATAAGTATTGGAACTCTTGGTATGCTGATTGAAAACCATAATTTCCCAATTTAATTACACAACTATTATAGAGATTGAAAGATGTTTATTTAATGGAACTTAGTTGGTTGGGTGTGGATGGATTGTCATATATGTGATTTCGGAAGTTATAAGTTGGTCAATCAAGATGGTGGGATGAATTATTGATGAATGGTGGTATATAGATGAACTAATTATATGGTGATGAGATGTAAAAATTTATGCCTATAAGATATTTGATAATATGCCTAAATGACTTAAGTTATGAAATTTCTTACTAATATTGGGTTCCATTGGATGTTGCTATTGTAGATTAAAGGTTCTTAGTATTGTGGATCATTGTAGTATCACGAAGGGGGGAAATTGAGGTATGTGAGGCTAACTCTCTTTACGTTTAGGAATGTCTAAGATTC